CGATATGGTTCATGGGGTCACGAAGAGTCGGACACAACTTAATGACTGAACAACAACAACACCTATATCACACCCCTGTTCACAGACTTCCCAGGTCACTCCAGGCATTTTATACATCTCTCCTATTGTCTGACAAGAGCTCCACCACAAAGTATGAAGCTGTTGTGACGCATCATTTACAGAATTTACTGTGCTATGAGATCCATCCAGCTCCACCTTCATTTTTTAGTGCTTATTTCATAGATATATTTAACAAATTAATTAATTAATCAATCAATGTCCTTACCACTGGACCAGGCATCATCATTGGTGAGTATGCATCCTCCGGCCCTGCCATCTGAGATGCAAATGGCTGTAAATGTAAAAAGTTTGGTTATTAAAAAAATGTGTGAAAGATATTTTTGTTCCCATCGTCAGGGATGTTCAGAATGTAAACAAAACTATCAATAACTTTTTTAATCATCGCAATGATGAATTCAGAGCTGATTGAATTGTGTAGCGAGGTTCATTTCTGGGCCTCATATTTAAAAACACAAGGAAAATTATGCTTCGCTTTCTTTGAGGTTTATTAACATATTTACAAATGAATAAAAGCAATTTGCTGTTAAAATTTCCTTCTTTAAAAAAAGAAGCTGCAAATGTATGAAAGAAAAAACAGGACTGTCCCAATGTCATGAATGAATAGGAAAATTCATGTTCATATCTACCACTTTTCTCTCCTCATTATTTCTGTCAAGAATTGTGTAACTCTGTGATTACTATAATGTTTGTATATTACATCAGAAACTGAAAAATGTTTTCCAGCCAAGGGCCATACAGTAATATCTTGGTTCACGAACGCTTCTGTTCATGAACAATTCAGTTCGTGAACAGCAGCGTTCGCAAATTTTTGCTTCCATTCGCGAACTCTGCATCGGGTGATGAACACGACCCGTGGCCATCTTCCTAGCTCGGAGGGGTGGTCGTGGCTTCCTCTAGGTGAGGTCGCGGTCGCAGACAGACACTTGCTGTGAAGCTTTTTGGTGTCGCCTCAAGCAAGGTTAGTGTTCTCTCTCTTCATACTGTACGGTACTTTACTTTGTTTCATATTTTTGTGGTTTAAAAAAAAATACC